CCTTGAAAATTCAGCTCTTCACAGTCAAATCAGGGTTTCAAATTTTGCTTATATCTTCTAATTGTGACTGTATTGGCAAAAATAAAAGGCCTATGAGAAAGAAAAAACCAAAATCTCATTTCAAATGAATGCATCCTTTTAGGTGCTTTTGATTTCACTCCTGAAAAGGTCACAGTGTTTCTGAAGGCGTCTTCTGAGGTGTCTGTAAAATACATCCATCAGCTTGACACTAATTTCGCTGTTGCTTCTGTGGCTTAATTGTAGCTTAAATTGCTTTGGATAATCTTAGGAATCATTTGAATTTTCTAGAAAAACAGATCCTTCATGTAAAACTTTTTTTTATTTTTATTTTTGTAATCAGCTTTATTCTGAATCGTCTAAATGCAATAATAAATATCTTGGTGCAGAATGAGTTCTTTTTGTTTCCACGTATATTTTCAGTCCTGACTCCATGTGTTACTTCTCAGATGTGCTGGGTAAGGAAGAGAACAGACTAATTTTTAGTTGACAGCACACTTTGATATATTTGTTGTCCTTTAGTCTTCACAGTGTCCTGTGATTTATTATCAGCAGTTGAGGGACAGGGAGGCTGGGCCTCAGGAAGAGTAGATAACTCCATTGTGAGCCCACAGGAGGTTGTGCAATTGTAGTTGGGAGAAAATCGCTTGCCAGATCTATCAGTGAAAATCAGTTGCTGAAATATACTCATTTTTGGCGGTAATTTTAAGATTTTCAGTGTCCTTTTTTGCTTGTTGTTTTGTAGGTCGTGGTTGTCTGTCTTGGTAGAAGTCAGAGATCAAATTTGATGTTCTAAAGATGTCTTTAAAATGTTTTGCTTCTGAAAGTTTATTATGTTACCTAGTAGATTTTGCAGAATGAGTATTTCACTTCTTCACAACCTACCTGACCCAAGCAGAACCTTTCTTTGTATCACACATTTCTTTACATCACACATAATAAAGTGGAAAAATGAACCTGTTGCTGCTGATGTCAGAAACAAGAGAAGCGCTCAGCGCCTTCCCCATCTCCGTCCCATTTGTGTGGGACTCTTGCACGGTCCAGGCATCCTTTCTCTTGCAGTGGACGGGACTGACAAAGCCTGCGGAGCTGTGGGCTTCTTGTCCTCCTTGGTCTCCTTTCCTGGCTCCCTTTCTGGAGGCAGCAGAAGGGCTGGGTTTGGGTTGCAGTCTGCTTTCAGGTTTATTGGGATTGTGTCCGGAGGCCTCACACTTGCTCAGGAGGACTTTGATGCCCTCAGAACCAGGCCTAGTGAGGACGAAGGTGAACCCGCACCACCCAGCTTTTTTTTTATTAGTTGTGCTTTTCTTGGTTCTGTAGCACTGATTTTTTCAAAAAGTTATTTTTACATTTCTGGAATTCGCATGTGCTTTACATTCACCTCGATAAATAAGTTTGTTTGATTTTAAATAAGGAGCTAGTGTATAAAATAAGAATCAGCCGTGGATAGTCTTCTTCAAAATTTCAAAAGTTGATTTATGCCCCCCTTTTATTACTTTTCACCAATTCCTGTGTCTAGCCATCCATCAAGGCAGAATCTTTAAAGTATTGCAAGTTGTGTACTTTGAGCTTTTGCTCCTCACAGGTAACTCTAGCAGGTTCTTTAGCTCCTACTCCACCTCAGTTGCCATCGCACTCAGACCGGCGTCTCCCGAGACCCTGGGCAGCGCTGTGCAATGGGAGGACTGGGCATCTCACTGCCTGCTTCTTGCTGTGAGGCAGTCAAGCAATTGATGCGTGATGCATAGGAAAGGAAATGTGAAGGTGCTAGAAAACAAATCGTGTTTTAAAATGATACTCTAACATGCAGCACCAGATTATAACAATTATGAAATACATTACTCATTCCTTCTATGTTAGTCTTCTCTACAAAGGATTTAAGACAACTTATTTGGCACTGAAATTGATTAAATCCTATGAGAATGCAATTCTGTATGCTAATAATGAGCGTTTTTTATTTCCTGTTTAGTGTTTTCATCACCTGACTCTTATTTGTCTTGCGGATTTCATCACCTGGGATTTAGGGTCTCAGGGTTTGGGCCTGAGGTCACTGCTCCGCGCTTGCGCCCCCTCTAGTGGACAGTGTGCATATTGTGGTGCTGAGAATTAAATACATAGATGCACCTTGCAAGTTCCTATTCTGACTGTAATGGAATAGTTTTTCTCTATAGCTACACACAGATATCCATAATGTATGGATACATAACTACATCAGCTACATAAATGATAGTTGATGAGTTAAAAAAAGAATACTTAAAAATTATATCAAGTATAAAAATAAGTATAGTATAATTCCAAATTCAGAAGTAATAAGAGAAATCTAAATTTCAAATATTAAAATATAAAATAAGAGTAAAATGCTTTGACACTGACATGGGAATGAACAGATCAGTGGAGCTGACCAGAATTGAGAAATCAACTGAAAGGGCGCTGTTTCAGAGCATCGAGGAAGGGTGACACATTCAGGACTGGTCCAGAGAGTCCTGGGTGACCATACGGTTAGCAATAAAGCTGAATCCTAGCTCCTCATTTTCTCCCAAGTAAACTCTGGGTGTGTGAAAAGTTACAATAGTAAAGAAATGATGCTGCTAAATGACTAAAAGAAAATAGAGGCCATTTAAAGGTAAAGTAGGAAAGACTTGCTATTTATGACAATACACCCAGACGACTTTAAGAAAAGGCATTTTATCCTTCCAGAGAAAAAAACAAAAAAGTTGAAGACAGTTATAGGACAATAATACTTAAAAGGGAAATACCAAATTTAGTCTTTTAAAATAAAGTGAAATAAACTGTGTATATTGGTACCTAATAGAGTACTTTGTAGACCACTTTGTAAACACAGGGAGATGATCTGAGGTTGAGATAAAGCAACCTCTTAGTTACTTGCGCTGTTCTTTTGTGAATGTTTTCTCAAATTGTTTATTTTCACTGCTTTTAGTGTTAACTCTTTGATGAACATATTGTAAATGTTTCTGAAGTCTATTTATTCTTCTGTTGCCTTTTTAAAATATCTTTAACATTTTAGCTATTCTGTGATTTATGTTCATGGAAGAATAGAACATCAATTGTGTCTTAAATCTGTGTCTGGATACATCCTTTCCTCTCTGAAGAAAATTCGAAGCTCATATCTGCACAGCAGTTTGTCTTGCCAGCTTTCCTGGCTTTGTTCTTTTTGCTAAGACTGCAGACTTCTCACTGCAGTGGCTCTTGACTCTAGGGTACATTTTAGCATCTAGAAGGGCAAAGTCTGCCTGTGCTTTTTAAAGTGTTTTAGTCTTTCTTGTACATGTCTAGATTGAACTCTTTGCAAGTTCCATAATATTCCTCATATAGTATACAATGAAAGATGCATGGAATTTAACTTCATATATCTTAGCATCTTCATAATGTTATTTTCTTTTGAAGCATGCATGTCTATTTATTCATTTTCCTTATTTGTCATCTAGTTCAGTTTTTCTGTGCTTCCTTACATACCAGTAATTACTAAGTACATTCTGGCTAGTTTGTGGTAGAAAAAGTTGGAACAATAGACCCTTGGTTTTGTTTTATATTGTGCAGAACAGAGAAAATTACTGAACAACTGTTTATTGTCTGAGGTTGATTGAAAATCAAAGACCTGTAAGTCTTTGTGGAATAAAATTTAAAATGTTTAACTATATTTCAATGTAAACTTTTTTTGTGAATAACATTGACCTTGAAAGTTTCATTAAGAATTGTGTAATAAATATCAAACTATTTGAAGGCAAACCAAAGGGATAAAATGACTATGTGTTCGAATCATTCTGTCATGCGGAATTTTTGTTTTCAGTACAGCTAGCTTGGGATTGTACATGAAGTTAAATTTTTAAGTCGATTTGCTTTTGCTTCTTACTTTGACTCTGTAGATGACAAACACTATTAACTTTTTTAAAATCACGTGGTATAGTAGTTCCGTGTAGCAAAATATGAAGTTTGTAGTTTTAAAGTTAATTGCCCCTCTGTTTCTTGTATATATTTATAAGTGAATAGAATTTTCTAGAAAATAATGTGCTTCAGTAAGGTTGTCATCCCTGCCGAGTAATTCTAGCCTATTTCATTCACTCAGCCGCTGGTAGCAAGTGCTTCCATCAACTCCTATTCAGGCAGTGACACCATTCACTGATTCAGTTGAGACATAAGATCTGACCCTCCTTTGCTGCTGCTAAGAATGAATGTGAGTTAGCCAGTTAACACAAATTTCCTCAAGGGAAAGGAAAAGGAAAAGGAAATAAATGTATGCCTTGTGTTTTATGTAAGTGCATCATGATCCATCTTATTGTGCAGTAGTCCTGGGCTGCCAGTCGAGTTACGCTGGGAGGTGGTGACTGTGGGACCACTGGTGACCCAGCTGAGACAGGAGCTCACTGGCCATGAATGAGAGGACTGCAGGGCCAGCTGCCCCTGCACACTGTGAGCCTGGAGCCCAGGCGTTTCCCTGCAGGACCACCATCCCCTTAGGAGGACAGGCTTGGTGTCTGCAGGGCAGTTGTGGGTTCTTCAAGGGTTGTGGCTCCTTTTGATTTACAAATAGGAAACTGTAGCTTTTTGTCTTTGACAAAGATTTGCTCAAAAGCATGACTTCCGTGGAAAACGAGCTTGTGTCTATGGAATAAAACAAAGCCAGTGGCGTGCTTTAAATGAGCTTCCATTATTAGTGCAAATCAGTCATATCAGTCCATCTCTTTTGCGCTTATCCTCATACAAATCGTCTCTGCCCATGTGTCAAATCCAAGTTCACTGGTCTGACCTCTGAATCTTTGCTTTTGGTAGCTTTCATTACTGGTTGACCTTATTAAGAATGAACTCTCATTATTTCATTTATCTGCTATGTGAAGGACAATAGCACATGCCTTTTTAAATAATTGTTAAAGACGGTTACTTGAAGGCTTTTGAAAACTGTTCTTGGGTGCCTCTGTGAGCCATGTAGGGCTTCATAAAACTAACGGCGCTGTTTGGCCTTGCAGGACCTCCAGAGGTGGGTGAATGGTGCTAGTGAACACGGCTTCGTCCTGGTGTCCTTCGGAGCTGGGGTCAAGTACCTCTCAGAAGACATTGCTTATAAATTGGCAGGCGCTCTGGGGAGATTGCCCCAAAAAGTGATTTGGAGGTAGGTAAAAAGCTACAGATTGTCTCTTTGCTGTTGGCTCTAAGTATCACCCTGCAAGTCCCAGTGGAGCAGCACAGTGTATGAGTTGCTGGCAAGACCACTGATAGCCCAGAGTTTTCATTTAGTTTCTTAGTGTACTGACATTTAAGAATTAATTCATAAGATTCTCACAGATGGCGACCTCTGGCCTGTGCAATGAGAAGAAGATGGAATTTGGCATGATTGATTCTACCTTGTTTTCCTCAGAATTCTACTGTCATTTTCTCTTCTATTTTTAACTTTTCTTTCTTTACAATTTAGCTGTAATTATATACCGTATATATCAGTTTCAAAATGAAGCAGAGAGTGATGAATTAATGAATACATAGGTAAAATGATTCATTGTTTTTTGGACTCTTTTGGAGATTTGCATTGACTCCTTTCCAAATGTCTTTGGTTTATCCAATATGACAGACCTTTAAAAAATTAGTAACTCCCCGGTGTTCACTGGTTAAGACAGAACCTGCTTCTATTCCAACTCCTTTGAAGGTGCTGCTAAAAGGTGTATGTCTCTGGAATTTAAACCCAAAGCTGGAGACCAGACCTGAATATTTTATTTAGCTGTGTGCTTGTTTAGTACCAACCACTGTTGCTGGGCTTCAGGGATATTGTAGCAAACAGAGTCAGTCCCAAAGGTTCTACCACAGTTAGAAGAAAGTAGCATTGTTTTTTTCATTTTTTAATTAATACATATCTGCACCATACAATGATTACATTCCTTGTGGGGATTAGATACATACGTGTAACACATTTTAATTTCGTTTTCATCTTCTTTTCCCTGCCTCCCCCTCTCTCTGCTTTTTTTTTTTCCCTCTTGTTTCCTTTTTCCTTTGCAAGAGATCTCCCTATTACCTATTATGTCTTTTATTTTGCGCTTTATTTATATTTTGGGACTGTCCATGAATATTCTGAGTCAGATAGGTTTTCCCTTTATTAACAGCAGTGCAGAGACAACTTCTTCTTTCTTGCTGAGCGGTGCCATGGATTCATGTTTTGCAGTGTTCTCCAGATCTGAGTTTCCTCTGTTAGAGAGCACCCTTCCTGCCTCATTCAGGACACTTCTGTCCGCTGCTCACACTTTGTCATTCATTAGTGGTTTGTCTTTGGAAGGTCAGTCCAGGAACGGCCTCATTAAGTCCTTTGTTGTATGGATTTCCACTGTCTGGAGCCGAGCTAAGGAATGGGACTGCGTGCTTCCTTCTAATGCTCTCACCTTCCCTGGGCTCTGGAGGCCAAGGATGCGTGCCAGGGATGGCCAGTGCAGTTCCCTCTGCTGCTGGTAGAGACTGGCTTCCAGCCAGATTCACTTGCTTGCAGTTTTGTTTTCCCCTTCACTTCTTTGTGTAGATGAAAAGAAGATAATAAATGTTTATATAAACAAATGCTTATCTGTCCCTCAGTCAGGAGAGATGTTTGGTTACAAAGAAACTTGATCACTTTTTTTTGTTGATGCTAAAATATGATTTCATTCCCAGTGTCAACAATGTAACATTTACTTTAGGTCTAAAAAATTAACCAGAGAGCCCATACCAGGAGTAAGGTTTGATTTCTAAAAGACTCACCGTCTGGTGTACATTTTAGGTTTTCTGGAACCAAACCAAAGAATCTAGGAAACAACACAAAACTCATAGAGTGGTTACCACAGAACGACCTGCTTGGTAAGTGGTGACATATGCTTGTTTGGCGTTTAGAATTTAATTGTATAAATATGATTGTTAAACTTGAGGTTTGTAGAGTGTTTGTGTAGTATATGATGTGTCATCATGTATTGTGTAGTATCTCAGTTCTTTTGTTTGTTTTGAAACATGGTTTCCCTATAGTATAGGTTGGCTTTAGCTTACCAGGTAGCCCAAACTGGCTTCAAACTCCTAGTGAGCCTCTTGCCTCAGCCTCCTGACTGCAGGAATTATAGACATGTGCTACTACATTGTGCTCAATTCTTAAATTTCAGGCCAGTATTTCAAATCTTTTTATTGGAAAACAGTTTGTAAAAGTGTAATCATTGGAACTGATAATTTAAAATTTTAGACCAGTTGTTTAACTCCCTGGAAACATACTTAAGCTGTGCAAATTATCAGTAAATAAATCCATGTCTGGTTAGGCTAAGAAAAGTAATAAAATTGCAAGATTGAAAATGCAAACATTATAACATGTTTTATTGTAGATGTGTTTGAGACCTCAGAGAAATTAGAAATTGTTCATTCATGTAATACCAAAGAGAAATAGAAAGCCACAGAAATAATAGTTTAATTTTAACGTCAGTTATATCATCTGCCTCAATTCTCCCTAATTTATTATTTTATATTCCAGAAAATTGTAATTGGTGACTGGCCTAAAATTTTAAATTACAGGCCCCATTGCAAATTGTTTTCCAAGATTTGAAATGCTGGTCTGAAATTTAATACTAGAGGTATTAAATATTTATTGGAATTCTAATCAACTCAAAATTCAACTGATTATTGCAAGCATGTCTTGTAAAAATACAGATACTTGAACCTAAGTAAGTTTGTGATCAGTAGACACAGCTGATAAGAATGTAAATTTTTATTCCTTGAATTCTAGGGAAACATAGTACTATATTATCCCTAAATATATATTGAAATTATAAAAGTTACTAATTTGGTGATATTGGCCTCTCTTGTTCATTAATACTAACACCCAAGATTGCTTTTAAAATTAGCTTTTCAAACAAACTTTGTAGAAGCTACAGTCTACCTTATAAAAACTAACAGTATAAACTTTGTAACTATAAATCAGTAAATAATTTTAAATAAATAACTCCTTTTCATGTGGTTAGAAACATTAGTTCGTAAATGATAAAACCAAGGAGAAATGAACATGGTGATTTTTCCTTGAGTGTCTTTATTAGTGATGTCATACTCCGTAGCAGGTAGTGAAGTCACTTGTCAGGCAGCTGTCTCAGCAGCAGTGTGACCCTGGGACCCAGGAACATCTCATTCCTCGCGTGGAGGACGTGTAGTGAGTGTGGCCACTGAGTCGACCTCCTCAGGTCGTGGCTCCTCCGGACGTCAGTCCTCTCCGCTGTCTGACTTTTCCAAGGCTGGTGTCTTGTGTCGCTCCAGGCATGGCCTTTGCCGGTCCTCTCCTGGCCTCTATGGATGCTCAGATGTTTTTTTGTGGATGTGAAGCAGGAACCTCAACGTTTTCTCTTGTTTCACTTCGGGATACCCCGTTCTTTCCACAGGCCAGCTCTGCTTGTGCTTTTTGTTTGTTTTTAATTGCTGGACTTGGTGGTATATAGTTCCTTAGACAAATAGTGTGCTACTGATGCAAAAAGTTTGAATACCTTTGGGCTGATCCTCTGGGGGCCACTTGAAGCTAAGGGACAGAGACACTGACTGACAGCCCCACGAGGCTTTGAAACAGAAGGTGCTGGGAGGCCCAGGAAGGCCATGGCTCACACACACCATCAGTTTCGTGTGTGTGTGTGTGTGTGTGTGTGTGTGTGTGTGTGTGTGTGTATTTAAAAGACTAGTATTTCTATAATTCTTTTTTTTGCTAGTAACACATTTTCTGAAGTGCAGTATTTATTTTTTTATACTTATGCAAGTGTTTGATCCCTTTTATGAAATTTAGACTGTTTATTAGGAGAACAAATCTGAGTTTTGAAATACTTCATTACAATTTTGACAGATTACCTCTTATTTTCGTGGCAATTAGGTATCCTCCTAATGTCCCATTTTTAAAGGTGAATTGTAAGCAGTACCATCTCTACTTGTTAGTATACTTAAAATGTCAAATGGAATCCTAAAATTGTGTGAAACATAGATGCTGATAGAACATTGTAAATGGTGCTTATTGTACAGCTTTCTTCTTTGGATAAGCACTGAACTCTTCATTGATTTCTTGAATCAACCTTACATTTTACATAATTTTTTTTTGCAGATGGAGTTTGACTTTAACATAGATAAGTGCTATACTGTAGATAGATCTCTGTTTTTAGTGAAATGCACCTTAGTATTGTTCGTTATTGCTTGCTTTTATTTGCTTCCTATTCATTTTTGACCATTTAAATTTGGGTACATATTGTATTTTCATGTTTAAAGTTCTATGTTCCAGTTACCTAAAATTACTTTTGGTATGCACAGACAGACAATTTTGGATATGATAGATATTTTAATGGCTGTACAGCAGAAATCAATGAAGTCATGTCTTAAAAAAGTCGTGTGTCTGGAATGTATGTTTACTCTAGGTTTATTTGTAGTAATATAAGTTATTTTCTTTCTTATTCTTTAGGGCACTCAAATATTAAAGCCTTCCTGAGCCATGGAGGTCTGAACAGTATTTTTGAAACTATGTATCATGGTGTTCCAGTGGTGGGAATCCCACTCTTTGGAGACCATTATGATACTATGACCCGGGTGCAGGCTAAAGGCATGGGGATATTGCTCGAATGGAAGACGGTTACTGAAGGGGAGTTATATGAAGCTCTGGTGAAAGTTATCAATGATCCCAGGTAAGGTTTCAATTAGTGTTGAAGCAGATAATGTTAAACATAACACACAAGTCACATTATATTATCAGTAGTCAGTTATTGTCAGTAAATTATTACTAAATCTTCAGATTCCTCTGATAATGCCTTGTACATGTTTGCAATAACTTGGACAATGATAATAGCAGTCCTTTGGGTGCCATGTAATGTCACTGCATAACAACAGTAACAGGGTTTGCCAAACTGAAGAAGAAATTGCAATGGGAACCTTCGCTGTGTCAAGTATTGTGTCTTTTATTTCATTTTAATAGTCATCATAGCTGTATATTACAGTTTTCGTTATCCATGTTATAGAAGTCAACTATCTAAGATGCAGAGAGATTCAGTAATTGGCCCTCCACTGCACAGATGTTAGAATAGAAACTTGAAGCCAGGGCTGGCTGGTTCCTAGGCAGACCTCTGGGCACTGCCCTGTAAGCTTGTGCTGCCAGCTTTCTGCAGCAGTGGGTGCTGCTGAAGTGCTGAGATTTATTTCCTGACGAATCGGAATCTGTGTCATTTTGGTTTTTAAGTTCTTGATGGGTCCTGTATTAATCCACTTTACAAATGAGTCTCAGAGGACAGAGAGCTGGCCTGTAAAGCCTAGCACCACTTTTCCCGCTTCAGGACATGTTTAATTTGTCACGCATTTCAGGTGACATTAAAGATGGGAGGAGCGTAACATGTGTCCTCAGGCTCTCAGCCTTTAGGGACCATGGGGTCATGGTGACATTTCTGTAACCTGGAGCAAGATCGTCCATGACCTGGGGTGCCTGAGTGTATCCCAGTTCTGCGACCTATTCCTTTTAAGGTTTATTGCCTCTGTAAACGTGTTATGATTAAAAAAAAATTGTTATGTTTGTAAAATACACTAGTAGAGTTTTTTGGGGTGAGAAACTTAATGGTCCAGAGTCACTTTCGTAGAAAAATCAAAATGCTCAGTTAACAATTTGCAAGGCTGGGGATCAAACAGAGGGCTGTGCCTATGTGAGGCAAGTGCTCCACCACTGAGCTCCATCCCCCCCGCTTCACCCAGCTATGTTCTGTGGAGTGAATGAGGCTGAATCAGAGAACCAGCTGTGGTCTTAGGTTAGACTTCAGTTAAATCCCAGCTAAAGAATCTTGATGTATACATGTTTGATCTGAGAATGTTTGATTCTCTATAGTGAATAAATGTCTGCTATTTCAAAAGTATGTATTATTAAATGATGAGTTTACTGCATGTAGATATTTAACTAAAAGGTTTTTGAGTATTCAAATAGAAAATGTCTTAATTTGAAAATGACAATGATCTGTGTAATACGGCCTTTGCCAGAAGCCTTCTATAAATGAATACCACTTCTCTTTGTTTTCAAATACATGATAGTGTTCCACATTTGATATGCAGTAGTTATTGAAAAGGCTAATTTATTAATATTGTGTTTGAGAAGGTTTTTTTTTTTTTTTTGAGAGCTTATTGTTTTAGTGTAAGTTATAAGATGAGTTGATCATTATTAACATTGTATATCTAACCCATGGTCAACTTTTAGGGAGAATTTTTTTTTTTTGATGCCGGGGTTGAACTAATGATCTCGAGCTTGCCAGGTAGGCTCTTATGCTGCTGAGCGAAATATCCAGCCCACCCATGGTAAACTTTTAATTGAAGGCATAGTTTTGTAAAATGTAACAGGTTATAATTACTCCTTACAAGGTAACCCTTTATTAAAAGTGCCTTAGCTGAAGATTTGTTTGGAATACTCCAAGGGTGGTTTGAATGACCGTTTGTTTGTTACACCATTTATTTATTTATTTTACTTTTGCAATATTTATATTCTTGTTGGGAGGAATGTTGAATTGTAAGCAAACTTGCAAGGATAGTACCACTTAATACTAAATTTGAGGCTAACTCCAGGGTGGAAAATACTTTCCCTTCAAATATCTTAAGCATGAAGTTCTTAATATCCCTTTCCAATTGATCCACTGACCTTTGAACAGAAGAGTTGAACAAAATCAAATTGGTTAGCAAGCATCTGTGGGAGGTGTTTTCTTTTTTTTTGGTCTTATCGGTACCAGAGATTGAACTCACAACTTCCTGCTTGCAAGGCAAGTGCTTATGCCACTGAGCTAAATCCCCAGCCCCTGGAGGTGTTTTCTTTAGTTACACTCATCCACATGTGGAATTTCATAGTAGTGCTTTTCAGCTTCCTTTTATATCTTTTAATATAATGTTCTTGCATCATTATCATGATTTAAATTTTAAAAAGTCATTGCTTAAAAATGTGATGGAATAATATTCTGCATTTTTCCTTCTATCCTCTTTTAGACTCTAATGCATTTATTCCTATTATGTAGGTTATTATACATTTCTTGGTTGAGACTTACTGATTTTACGTACACAACAAATTTTTTTCCAGTACTAGAGATGGAACCTGGGGCTTTCACACGGAGCTGCATCCTACCTTTTTATTTTATTGAGCTGGACACTTGCTAAATTACCCAGTGAGCTCCAACTCTCGAATTTGTAGTCTTCCTGCCTCAGCCTCCCAGAGTGCTGGAATTACAGGCGCATGCCACCAGGCCTGGCTCATTGATTGATATATAAAAGTATATGGAGAGAAGGACACCACAGGATGTAGCATAGAAAGAGCAGAGAACTTAAGAGTCAGAAAACCTTGCATCTGAATCTCAAATTTACAGTCATGTTCCGATAGTTTCTGTGGTTTTCATTTTCCACAGCAGTTTAAAATGGGTTTTATTGGGTTAAGATATGGTGTTTAAAGCACTTACCCAGTGCCTATAATGGCTATCCTTTATCCAGGATAGCTGTTACTTGTTCTCCCCGTTTTTAAATTGAGAGCTCTGTAGACCCCTGAGCCTTGCATGCAGATGATGGTGCTGCGTTTTGCTCCCACTCCATAGCTACCGCCAGAGAGCTCAGAAGCTGTCGGAAATCCACAAGGACCAGCCTGGCCACCCTGTCAACCGGACCGTGTACTGGATAGACTACATCCTGCGCCACAACGGAGCCCACCACCTGCGGGCTGCTGTGCACCAGATCTCCTTCTGTCAGTATTTCCTGCTGGATATCGCCTGTGTGCTCTTCCTCGGTGCTGCCTTGGTTTACTTCCTCTTGTCCTGGGTCACAAAATTTATCTGCAGAAAAATCAGAAGCCTATGGTCTAGAAATAGGCATAGCACAGTTAACGGACACTATCACAATGGAATCCTGAATGGCAAATACAAAAGAAATGGCCATATTAAGCATGAGAAGAAAGTGAAATGAGCCAGAAACCCAGGTGATGGAAACACATATGTTCAGTCATTGAATTTTTATTGCAATAATTTAGTCTAACAGCTACTAAAAATAAAATGTCAGTAAACAAGTCTAATACTCCCTTATCAGATCTTACTAATGAAATTCTGTGGAATTAAGATGGCTGTAAAGAGCACAAACCTAAAATATGCAAAAATGTGTTTTATTCAAATATTGATGCAGAGTTTTGGCACTGAACCTTTTAGAAGCCTTAATTATTTAAGTCAATTAAGTGACTGTGTCAGACCTTAGTTTTAAATCTTGATGTGTGTTTGTCACAGATAAGCAGTGGTTTCTTTTCTATTGATAATGTTTGGATATGTGTGTGTGTGTGTATGTATATGTCTCCCAATTCAGAGTGTTATAGTTAGCTGCTTATTGTTAGGGTACCACATTCAAACATGAGGTAAAAAGTTAGGACCCAGTGTTTCTCTTGGCATTTACCATGTGTGAACTCAGAACATTATGGTGAAAGAATACTTTTCTCTCAACACTGAATGTAGAGGAAGGATATGAAAAGAGAAATAACACAGCTTTTTGCACTTTTTATTTTTAATTTTTTTTTCCTTTTCCTTCTCATTGGTTAGGACTATGAACATTTTCAGGGCAAAACATATAATTAAAGTAGTTGTATAAATTTGTTGTCCCATCTTACTTTAAATTTTTCCCTATGAATATTTTCCCTCTGGATGAATTTTATAGTTTTTCTATTTTGTTTTAATGAATAATGTTGTGTTCAGTGTGTAACTAAGACAAACAACAAAACTCTGACTTCTGTTGAAACTACTGCAGACTATTGCTCAGACAACCTTTGCAAACAGAGCCATTGCTCGGATGTTTATTGTAACTATTTGAAAGCTTTTCCACACTGTACATTTGGAGTGTTCAGGTGTTACAGTTCCACAGTTTTAACCTAAAACACCATCTTTCTCATCGCTTTTATTGTGTGAGTCACACAATCCATAGTACATAGGTGCCAACAGTTTATTTTTCTAAAGTGGAACTTTGAGGTTCTCTTTGCGGGTACCTGCTTTGTCTGCAGAGGCCTGAGGTCTTGGTACCAAGTCAGACGCCACGTGATAACAGACCTGACAGAAGTCGTCCCACTGTTTGTGCAGAAGAGTTTCTGTTTTCCTCTTCACTCCTGCGGCCCCAACGCAGCAGCCTTTTCCAGTCAGCAGCACGGCTGCGATGAAGAGTGACAGTATTCTTTTAGAGCAAGGATGCAAGTCACAGCCACCAGAAAGTCTGGTCCTCCCTGCTGAGGCGTTCACTAGGTAGCAGCTGTAAGTTTATCCCATGTCATTCTGTTTACTTAGCATTTGCACTACACACGTTGAGTTTATGCTTTATTTATTTGTAGATTGAAATCTTGTATCTGACAGCTGAGAGTAGCAGAGTACATTTACTTAAGTCATTTACTAACACGGAAGAGTTGTGCAAATTCTAGAATGCTGTGAATCCTTGTCATACACGGTGACATAATGACTTTATTCTCCCACCAGGAGCCAGTCTCCTTTAGCAGAAATCAGTGTCACAAGTAGTTTGCTGATGCACATGCAGACAGCTGTACTGCTCTCTGAATACTTGAAGAAATGGCATTACATGTAGAAGCCAGTAGTTTTATACCTTTCACAATCTTACCACAACTTTGCTGTTCAAAGGGAAAAAACACAGGCAGTGAATGGTGGGATGGTACAGGCCTTTAGAGTGTATGAATGAGGTGACTCTGCTGTTTTGGAATTTGAAGTCAACAGTAGGCGCTGGCTGTATGAATGAGTAAGCGTAGGTTAATCTCCACTGTGATAAAAACTTTAATAAACATGATTTAAAATAGAGAAATGTTGTTGGAATAAAATTTTTATTCAGATTTTATTTCATAATATTTTGTGTATTATAAACATGTTTCTAAAATAGGTTGCCCAACTTTTGTATGTGTATATGAGTGTGAAAACAGTGTATTAAATGTGATAATGTATTTTTGTTATTTAACAGAGGGGTTTACAGGTACATCATCGTGAACCTTAAACTTGTGTCCCCCAGTTAAGAATGTTAAATATAGGCATTTACTGCTCATTGTTATTCTGTTTCCCGAAAGCTTATTGTTAGCCAGTTTGGGTAAATAGAGTGATTTTAAAATTTTCACACTTGGGCCAGTTTCTCTAATAAAGTTAAGTTTTCAAGAAGATATTTTTCATGTATTTTTTGGAAAGAATCTCTGATACCATTTAAGTCTTTCCATAGCTGATTATCATCATGTCAGACACAGTGGTCAGAGAGCAGCTTCTGATATCCCACCACATAGACATAGCAGCAGGATCTGGAGGCCCATGGTTGGAAAGAGCTAATATATGGGTTAAACAATAATTTATAAGTGAAGCCGGAAAAAGAGAGTATCTATAATGCTCACCTATTCACCAGATCCCCAAAATACTAATATCAAATGACTCTTCAGAAACAAAACAGAACAAATTTAAAAGTGAGAGAATGAACATAAATTGAGAAGCAATTTCAAGTGATAATTAGTGATCTGTTTCATTGAAAATATAATTCATGTTTTTATTCTTGCTGCTAAGTAACTCAACTAGTTTGTAAATGTAAAATCACATTTGAGAATTTTTATTTGCAGTTGTCCTAATCATCAGTTTGAAATAGAAAACATACTAATCTTACATGATGAGGTTTGATAATTACAAGAATTCTGTTTTTGAAACCTGCCCAAAATATTCATTGGAGAACTTGCTTCTAACATGGTAAGAGCTTTAGCCAGCTTTAAAGAGATATTCATGCAAAGATTCTCTTGATATTTTTGGTAGCGAACAAAAACATTGTTCAAACAAGTCTTGATAAGAAATACTTAGACGTCCACATAATTAAAATACTTGTATTTTCCTTTTTATACAAATCCTGTGAGATGTTACAGATCCTCAGTCAAATGTGACAGGTTCTGAGTTGCTTAGTGTTTGGGCTGCTGAATCAGATTTGCTAGCCAGACGTTAGTGATGTGACTGCTAATGCTCTTACTGTTCTAAAATAAAATAAGGAAACCCAGAGGCACGTGATAATTATTGTATTCGTGCACAGTTATTCTCTTAGATTTAGAGAGTGCTCACATTGCCATCTGATAAGCTGCATAGATAGTGTAATAAGAGTAGGATATTTTCAGTAGAGCATAAGCAACTTCAGGTTGAGAAATTATAAACACATGTAATATTATACTACGAAATAAAACAATGATAATGACACAGAAATCCAGCACCAACATTACTCTCTATTGTTACAGGTATTAAAAAGGTGTCAGGTATTAAAAAGAATTTTCATTCCCTTAATCAGTAAAGCTTGAATTTCTTGCTGAATTTTATAGAGTTAAAAGTATTACATTCTTATGTTGGTTTCAACAGTAAGTTTAAGTCTCCAATAAACGTGTTTTGTATGATAGATGATAATTCCCTAGTGCAAAGAACAGAATTAGAGTTCTGCTAAATCACTGCAGATACCTACACTTTCCAAAGATAATTTTTTTTTTATTGGTTCTAGGGCCAGTAAAACCTCAGGACCTTGTACTTGCCTAGCAGGCGCCTCTGAGCTAAACCTCTGGCCTCCAAAGATAGTTTTACTAGATGATAAGCCCTTAGTTCTAATATCAGAATCGGATTTCAATCAGATTAAAAAAATGTAACCAAGAAGAGTTTTTAAAAATAAATCTATATTCTCTATGTAAATAAGTACTTTTTATATTAAAGAATCTATTGCTCTTTTCTTTGCTGAAGACGTGCGTTAGAGATATATTGTCATATATGTTGAAAAGGTGAATTTATTTATTCACGCCAATTCTTCAATTATCCTTATAAAACTTTGACTAACGCCTTCAAGTATTCCTTATTTTTAGCAGAAAATGACAACTTTGGAATATAAATGCATTGGTGAATTGCACGTTACATTAAATTTTAAGTTGGCAATAATGTGTGCTGTTACATTTATGAATAATAAGCCAATATACTTAAAAATACCAATGTAAACCATCAATTAAGTCTCATCAGAAAAAGAAAATTCTTTTGGTGTATATCAAAGTTAGAGAACTTTATCAATATCAGATACAGTTAGAGATCGGTATCTATCTATATATGTATGTGTGTGTAGTTGGGGTTTGAACATACAATTCTTTAGTGATTACATTTTTAAATCTAAGTCAAAAATGCTATGCCAGTTTTTCCTTGAAGATTGTCAGTATTATGGAATTTTAAAAGTCTGTTTTCAGTGTGTTCAAAAACAAAGACTTTTTAACCCCCCCCCCAAAAAACCCTAGTTTTAGAAAGCTAATCAAATTCTACCTTAAAACTGAGAACATAGAATAAAAGTATTTTATAAAACGAAATCTGAACACTGCTTTGAATATATTCTTTTAGCATTTGAATCATCTTAATCATTCTAAAACAAGTATTTTAAATTCAGCTGAGAATGCCGGTTTCTCACATGGGGGACACAGCAGAACGGCATGATGAGATCTACTTGAGTGCTTTTGCCTTTCTTCTCTAGCTCTTATCTCCTGTGTTCCTGCTTCCAAGTTTCCTGTTCTGTCCTTTGGGTTTTGTGTTCCTCTTGGAAGATGTTTTCTGAATTTTACCAGTTATTGCCAAATCTGTGCCAAATTTATGGTGCATAATTGGGCCCACATTTCCAATAATGTTTTTTGTTTTTAACAACTGTGGAAATAATCGGAGATTAAAATCTCAAAGTGCAGAAACGTCAATTGAGAAAGTCACCAGTTGTTCAAAAAAAGCTGTTATTTGTGTTGAGTGAATGTTCCCTAGGATGCAGGGTCCATCAGGAGCAGTGAATGTGCTGATCGTGCCTGCTGTGGTGTTGGGAGGAATGCCACCCGTGGGCCAGCATTCCATCTCTGGGCACTGTCTGGCCCTCTGGCTGTGGCATGGAGTGGACTATTTGGGACATAGTTCAGTGGTCTCTAAAAGATCAAGAGGTATGTATCTGTTTTTACTTCTCCCTTCTTGGTCAGTGGAAGTCCTTGGCCAACTAGCTTGTACTGTGACAGAAAATTCAAAATGTAAAAACTAACGCAGCTTAAGACTATATTGAGACAGAATGTGCTCATCTGGCCTGCCCTGTAGCTGGACCACCAAACCCAGTTGGCCTTGACTGACTGCATCCAGCTACTTTTTGTAGTCTGGTCCAGGTCAGCTTGATTCAGTCCAGGTGCAGTGTTTCTATTTTCCTATCTAAAAATATATCCTGTTTTACTAACCTGTTCCAAAGGACTATGACCTAGTAAAGGACAAGGACATGCATGGTTTCATCCACCTCCTGGTCCTAACTCCTAAGACTCTCCCATCTTATGATAACCAATCCCTTTAACTTAATCTGCTCACTTTGCCTGGCAACATATGACATAGTCTATAGCTGATTTGCTATAGGCTTTGTGCCTCCTGCTTGCAAACTACCAAAACCCAAAGCTGATGTAGGGTTGGTGATTTGGAACTGGTCTTCCCACCCACCTGTCAGTGTAATAAATAGTTTGCCTTTCAACTCCTTGGTGCAAAGCATCTTTCTTTAGGTTGATACCTAGTTTCTGCATCGGTATCTACAGAGATTACCTTCTCTTGGGGGGAGCCTGCGCTGGCATCCATTGTTGGTAGTGCTCCTAGCAGCATAATTCTGCAGCAAGCAGTGTTTGGTTAGATCACTGATGCCGTAACTCAGTATCACTCATAGCATCCTTAGAATTACCAACAGGTGCTGGAACTGCACTAGCTGTGTGGCAGAGACAGAGAAAAGCCCCAGATGGGTGACAGACATTAAGAACTTCGTTTGGACCTAGGATTGTAGCAGGATGGTTCTCTATGCAGCAGTGTGAAGAAAGCTGTGAGTCGCAAAGGCATAAACATCCTCTGTAGGGAGGCAACAGGGTGTAGGGATTTCACATCAGAAGCGACCCTTGTTTACTATTTGCACTAGGGAATGTGAGATGGAGCAAAATCAAGCAGACCATAAAGAGTTTGAATGTAAGATCCAGAGAAGTTGGAGGGATTTAGCAATGCAAGACTTACGACTATAATAAGGCTTCTCTAGTCATATGGACCCTTGAACACAGAAGTTTGGTGGTGAGCTTTCACTGTAGTGATGCCCAACACTGTAATCACATCATTTAAGGGAAAAGTGATGTGCGCACACCAGACAGAAGTTGCAGAACATCTTTGTTTGGCTATCACTTTTTTTTCTTAGAGGGAAATGCCAGAAATTTAGTAAGTTTTTATTATCCAGTGTCAAAAGTAAATACATGTAGCATTTGTTTACATGGAATTTTCTTTTATGCCAAATGTGTTCTACTGTACTTACTCCTCCCAGAGCTGTGGATGCCAGCCCTAGGGTGTCTGTTATTCCTCACATCACTGGTTAAGAAACAGCTTTAGATATTTGAGCATATGTTACCAAAATGTTACACAACAGACCATGGAAATCAAATGGAACAGATACAGATGAGGAAAATTGTTTAACTTCAAAGAGTATTTTTACATGCTTTTAAATTTTAATACTATTTATATTGCTTTAACCTATTTCTATGAAATAAAAAAGGCTTCTAGTTTTCTTATGTAATTATCTTAAAGTACTCGAGTTGTTAAGACTCACTGTGTCATCCTAAGATCCTTACAAATACAAAGGAGACTAAGCGATACTCAAACAGATTTGAAAACTGAGTTCATTACTTTTTGGCTGTAATACAGGACATAGTTCATGGCCTCCTGTCACCTGACCACCCTTTCCCCAGCCCTAGAGTCCCCTTAGTACTGAGTCCAGACGCCTCCGTCAGTTCAGGGTAGGAGAACATCTGGTTGTGAGCATCACACCGCTTCAGTGACTTGCTCTGGCATCTCCTCCCCAAGAAGAATACTTATTTCGTTGTAGGGTTAAGTATCCATTAGCATTACTGTCAGCACTATAACAAAAGATCTGAAGCTATGGAAACACAAAGCTTTTTGTATTTCAACTCTTAATTTTGTGTGTCAACCCGTTCACACTTACATGGGACTATTGGCTTTGTTCTTCATACACGCCTCGGTGACTTTTACCTGCTGTGATAGCATTTTGCTGTGCAGCTCTGTGCTAATGCAATTGTCCCTCACCTCTCTTTCACTGGCCAGTTTATGTGTTTATTCTAAACTGTCTGATT